AGGGAAGGGAAGGGAAGGGAAGGGAAGGGAAGGGAAGGGAAGGGAAGGGAAAAAGATAAGATGAGATGAGAGGAGAGGAGAATTGACAGCAACCTTTCTAAACCAGCTATATTTCAGGGGCTGAATGCACAGGAACAGATGAAACCTGCAATTCTGCCAGCTTCCTTCCTTCCTAGAGGAAGACAGTGATAGGTAGATACTGAAGGGTAGATAGTGAAGAAGAAGCTGAGAGAGTCAACACACTGAACAACTACAAAAATGCTGAATTATTTATGCAAAGGACATTATTTTCATCTTAAAGAGTTAAGACAATCAGCCTGTAAAACCTTGTGATGCAGTATCAAGTCCTTATTCTAGGAAACAGAGGAGAGACTCTTAGACAAGCACCATAAATACTAAGCCATCTCTCACTAGCATAATGAATGCAATGTTTTGAGTTTATTAAATGTGCCTAGAAGTTAATTGAAAGTATTCATTTAGTGAGAAAAATTAAGTGGTTATAATACTATGGAAAAAACTGAGTGAATAGTGATTGATTTGATTTTATTTTTCAACTGTAATTTACATCAGGAAGGAGGAAAAGGGAAGAAAAACTAGCAAAGTGAGTGGATCCAATGGACCAAAACAATTTGGGATTTACCATGGCTAATATTATATGCATAAGTATTTCTTTCACAGAAGAAAGATTGTGCTGGAGAAGGCAGTTTATTAGACTTTAGTGTATGTAGGACAGGGGAAATCTTTGACCAGTTCAGGAAGAAGGCAAGGTGTTTATTTTCTTTAATCTCAGTCAATAGCAACAAATAAAGTAAGACTGATAATAGCCCAAGGAGTCTACTGGATGCTCGTATCTGAAAGGAGAACAGAGTGTAAATGATCAATGGTTGTCTCTATCAAGCTGCATTTAGTTGGGATTTTTCCTTTCCAGATTGTCATGACTGAAGCTAGTAAAAGTTGAAAGGAGGATGGATATCTGCAAGGATAATCATTAAGGTGTGTGTACTGCTTTCACAGCTATTAGATCAAAGCCCTTTACTGAACTATTTTATTATCAGACTTATAAATCAGTCTCAGTTCATTTTACAAACATTAGTACTCCCATCAATTACATGCATTTAGAACTAATGGTTTTACAGGAATGTTAATAGTACAACTTTATTTCCTGAAAACCATCACTGAAGACTATTAAAAGGTTAGTAATTGCTGTATGGAACATGCAGAATTATTTGTTTCTGGTTTTAGACTATCAGTAAATTGGCATGTGAATACATTTGCTAACCAGTTAAACTTAGTAAATGCAAAAGCATTTATAAGCCATCCCTGTCCAGCTTTTCTTCATAGACATGGTCTGAGTTCACCAGGACCATTCTAGTGCTGCCCTTCAAAGCCCTGGTGGATATGGTACAGCGCTCCAGACACTGCCACCGTCCCTGCAGGGACCCTGGGGGTCGGGGCAGATTGTCCCCAGGCAGAAGCTGTTTTACCAGGCAGGGACAAGGGTCAGGTCACAGCCTGTTGGCTCAGGCAGAAGTGATGGGTGCTGCACTGAGACCTGAACAAAACAGAAATAGCACAAGGAGATGATTAAGGAGTGAGGGTTTCACATGGAACCTGTTGTAAGGATGCTTTGGGCTCTGGCTCATTCCATACCTCAAAGTTTGAAGCACTCCCTAGATTTATTCAGGCGTCTCCCATTTTACTCTCCAACCCCCTGATAATGTAGATTCCTCTTTAAATGCACAGATTTAGCTGAAGGGTACATAATAGAAATTGCTAGATATGATGTTCCTCTTAGTGTGTGAAATCAACTGCCTGTCCCATCCAAAGCTGCCCTTAGCCCATACTAAGTGTTGAAGTTCTGTTTCTGATTACTAAATAGTAAAACAACAGAGACTCAAGATGGGAATGTTGCACCAGTTCATCTTATCTGCTTTCTCTTGCTAGCTGTGTCATGAACCTGAGATGTCGGTTCATTAGTTTAAGAGGCTGTTTACACGTAAGAGGAGAAAGGACAGACAGGTCCTTTGAAGCCTGTGGAGCTACCCCTATTTCCACCAGCTGAGGAGACAGTTCCAGGAGACCTGTCAGGCAACCCATAATGAACTATGTGGTGTGCAAAGCAAACTTCAGATCTCAGAGACTGCACACGATTTAGGTTCCATTAGGTCAGGTAATTATGATTACCTCAAAGGTTTGTAAAGTAGGAGTAGAAAATATCAAAATAAAAATCATAGTTATCTTTCATATGCCCTCCCTAGGATCCAGCTTTTAGCCATGTCAGGCCATGGATACACTCTGTTCACAGGTCTTAGTAAACCATGCTGCCTAAATGAATCAAAGTGAGTTGGAGGTGCCATTTTACAGCTGAACATTTATGTCAATCCTTCATTCCAGAGTGGTTCAGCATTGCCTTGACCTTCACATCCCCCTTCAGATTGAATCTGTTACCCTCAGTGAGTATAAAGTCTATAAAGAAGCACCTGATCATAAAATCCACTTGGAATGCTTTCTTAAACCTCCACCAATTATCCATTAAAAATTCTGGTTTTTACAGGCTTTCTCTCCTAATGAAAACCCAAAAATAGTGCATCTGCTTTAAACTATTTCTAGACATCTGGAGAAAAGTCTTGACAACTTGAAATAATCATTGATTGATGTGACTAAATAAAATCATCTGAGTGCTTTAATGTATAATAAGAGACATTATCATTTTCTTTATAAGCAAGAATCTGATCTAAAAGAAAAGATATGGATGGCCTGACAAACACCTTCCTAGATCAGCCACCATCAGGCATGGAAAAGAAATATCATTTATATGATATTAATAATATAGAAAACAAAGAATTTAATTCAGTGAAGACTGAGATGCAATGAGCTTATATCTTCACCAGAAAGCCTTTTAATTTGCAAGGAGCTCTTACACTCTAAAGGAAAAACACACCAAAAGTAGCTGCAGCATGGTTCCCAGTGAGTCACCCTGAGAAAGCCGAGCATAACCAGGAGCTGCTTTGGCTTTGGCAGGCTTAAATCAGCCCAAGGCAGGAAGCTGGACCATGAAGACAAAATAGCAGCTCAGGGGGAAATTTTAATGTAGCTCTGTATTATTCCCTTAAAAGAGAAAAAAATACTATTTCTTTTTCTTTGTCATTTTCACTTTCTTCTCTCCCCTCAAAGTAAAGTGGAGTTAATCTCTCTGCTTTTAAAGAACAGCTCATTGATTGCACCCCATTCTGCATTCATTGTCACAGTCCCTCCCAAGGTGCACTGGCATCCCTGTTTGCAGCCACAGCCTGGATATTTTTTCAAATTCTGTGCTAACTGTTCCAAGTGTACCATCTGCCCTGGTGCCCCTGATGCCACATTAACAACGGCCTGTGATGAGCTGCCTTGGTGACACCTCTGACCTCATGCTCTTCATCATCTCCAGCTTCACTGAACTCTCCCTTAGCAGACCATGACCCTTGTCTCCTAATGCTGGCCTGTTCCACCTGCCCCTTTGGGCTCTGTCATCATGCAGAGATGGAGCTTCCAAGGCAGTTTTCTCCCCTGCCACCAGCTCTCAAGGGAAGGAGCACTGTCTGTCTGACTGTGAGTCATCTCCCCTTGTTCATACCTCATCTGTGGAGATTCTCCTCAAAGCTTATTCTCAAACAGCTTCAAACAGGCAGCTAAAGTGTTTGTAGCTGACTAAATATATGAGGAGCTACAAAACAAATCACACAACCCTTGGCTTCAACCTTTCCCTCAGTCCTCTCACACAATTAGCTGTTTCCACTTAATGCATTAGTTTATCTACTTATAACTTAATCTGTGTCATGGAAACTCATGTCTTGTTTTGTACAAGAGATCCCAGTGTGAAAATTACATCATTTTATAGCATGTCAGACTTTTGCACCTCACCCTTTACAATTGTTAATCAAAAAAAGGGTGACCTTTGTGTAAAGCATTTCTATTACTGTAGACATAATGTCACACTCACATTTCATGGAGTATGAAGTTCCTGCAGACCAGAAACTGAAGGATTACTTATGGCTACTGATTTCAGACAAGAAAAAAACAAGAAAAGCCAACCTGAATGGTTAAAATTAATCTTAGAGAGCAGCACCACACAGAGAAGAGGGACAAATTCTGCTTCAATCCAAGACTAAATACCCAAGGCCAAAGCTGAAATTCAGCTACTACATGTCCCAGGAGGCACTAGCATTTTATATGTGCTGCAGTTTCACATGGCTAAAGGTTTGATGAGAGTGGCTGCATGGTCCTGATTTTCTGAGGTTTCTGAGGAGCAGTGAGGCCACTTGCTCAGTCCACAGTGCTCCCAGACCAGCACAGCAGGACTGTAGTGCCTGTAGCCTCCCCCTCATTGTTTCACTGTCAGCAGGAGAAGGCACTCCCTCTGCCAGGATGCAGGAGAGTGGAGCCCAACATCTTCTTTGAAACAGCAACTGGAGCCAGCCAAAGGAGCAGCCATCTTTTGAAAGCAGGGAATGACCACAGGCTGATTTCCAGATGACTTGCTGGCTCTGATTTTCAGAGGGGAGCTGGAAGCCCTCTGCAGAAGGGAGAATAATTTTCACACTGCAGGGTGAAGTGAGTGGTCTGGGATGTATCCTTGCCCTGAGCATATTCCACTCACAGGGAGAGAGGTCTGCCCCAGGCAATGCTGTTCACTTTGGGGATGCCTGTCCTCATTGCATGCTTTGGAGGAGAACCTAGGATTTGGTTTGGGGGTGTTAGTATGATTTGGAGATGCTATTACATTCCTGTAGCTATGGGGTCTTTAGTGGAGATTAGTGCAAAAATAATTAGATTCAAAAATATTGAATCCATACAGAGCCAAATACATTTTTTAGCCAGGGGCACCCAAACTGCACTTAGAGTTTGCATGTCCAAACCACTATTAGAGCTAACAAAAATAGATATAATTTTGGTCTAGGAGCTTTAAAAGGAAAGTTGACAGCTGAGAGACAAAATATATTAATTCTGAGACTAGTTTTTGGCAGGATTGGGAAGACTACTGAGATTGTCTGAAAAGTCTCTGGAAGTTCAGCACTGACCTAGCAACCATGAGAATGACATTAAAGAGAACACATACAGACCCTGTCCAGACCACAAACCCCACATGGACTGATCCCCAGGTCCACTGGGCTCTTTTAAAACAGCTGACATTATTTTCCAGCTTTTTAAATTTCCAGATTTTTAAATTATTCCAGCCTCTCTGAACTGACATAAATCCAGACAGTGAGTTAAGCTTGGAGACAGGAGAAACATATCCAGTTCTTCAATTCCCCATTGAATGCTGAGATGGGACTTGAACTGGCAAGAGGTTTGAATTGAAGCTGCTCCAGACTTTCTGTGAAGCCAGCATGCCAGAAGACCTCCAATCCCTAAAGCATTTTTTTTTTATTACAGAATGAAATAACAAGCCAAACATTAAAATCAGTAAATAGGAGAAAACTCAGAATGTCTGGATGAGACTGCTCAAGCAAAAGGCTTTAAAGTAAAGCTCCTTGGTGTCTTTGCAGGATGGGATTGGTTCTCCAGCCCTGTGCTCCAGAGGTTTCCTGAGCCATGATAGCTTATGTCATCCCTGCTGATGTTCACAGCTCCTTTCCTTCAGGAGCCTCTGGGGACCTTACTTAGCTGCAGATGCCCCCGGTGATCCTCAATGAACCTCTAGATCCCAGCTACAGGCATCCTCTTCCCCCCCTTCCAGCACTGCCTGGGGGCAGCTGGTAGCCAGAGTCTGTACCCTTGGCCTTGGTGACATGGCAAAACAGTGGCTCACATCTGCTCTCATGTTAGGAGAACTCTCACTTTGCTTCTCTGTGATTCAACACTGCTGGGCCAAGGAAGAAGCTTTAGCTTTCTGTTTCACCAGTTTCTGTTTCTCCCCTGAGCAGAATGCATGCCTGTAAAATAGCTTGGGAGGGGGGAAAGAGAACACAAGCCCTTGCTGCCTCTGTTACAGACCCTCTGGCAATCAGATGACTTTGCACATCTGTGATTCTGATGGGGCAGAACATGGTCCCTGGTATTGCTGATAATTGCAGCCCTGGTCACTGTCACTTTTGCTCCTGGTGGTCTGTGCCCATTGTCACAGCAGGCAGAGAGCCAGGGCCAACAGGCATGAATGTGTTGTTGGTGGCTCCTGCCTGGCGCTGATGTCCCTTCTCTGAGCTGCCATCCATCCTGCCTTCAGCAGCAAATGGAGGCAATTCAGATGTCTTGGCATTAACCTTCAAATCCTAGGTCGAATATGCTTAATATAACAGAAAAAGTAGAACAGAAGGGTGTAGACTAATTTTCATCCCTCCAAAATCGAGGAGAACCCTGAAATCAAGGAGAACACCAAATCCATCTTCTAATTTTATTTGTATTAGTCATAGTGTGGTGAAGCTGGAGGAGGCAAAGTAGAAAAAAAGTAAGACTGGCTTTCATCTCATCAGAGAAACAGTTAGTGGAATAAAAAAGTCATCAGTGTCCAGGCTTCATGCTAATGACTATTTAGCAAACTGATAGAAAGTGGAACAGTGGAAACATAGAGAAAGCAGTTCTGAAGTAGGAAACTTTGGGCTATGTCCAGTTGAGCAGACAGAGATGTGCAAACCAGAGCCCCATGTTCCAGAAGATGGAAGGTCCCAGCTGCAGTGGACGGGACAAAAGGGAAAAATTTCAGCAGTGGAAGAGACTTAGGTGCTCTCAGCAGCACAGGATCAAGCAATAGGGAATCGTGGAGAGGAAAGGAAATGTCCAGTTTGGGGCATGAGAGGTGTCACGCAGCCTGACACAGCACACACTGGTGCAAAACATCAGACATCTGCCAGGCACTGCTGGCAGGGCGAGTTCAAACAACTCCCCGGGCAGAATTTTAAGCAAGTGCATTTTGGGCTTTGGGTTTGAAGCAGCCACTGTGAACTACACTCTGGCTGTGAGGGTGCAGAAAGGTACAGTCCCCAGTCACAGTTTCAGTTCATCTCAGAAGAGTTTCTGTGAAAAGATGCACAAGACAAAACCACCCCCATTGGCCCAGCTGAGTGCTAGTGGAGGCTTCCATCTCATGTCCAATATTACATCTCTGTACTCCTCTGTCAGACAGTGATGACTGAAATGTAAGTACAATGTGTATTCCTCTGGCCTCCAAGAGCCTGTGTACTGCTTCAAGCAACATTTGTTCAGCTCCTGAGAGTTTTTTTAATTATAGACAGTGTAAAAGCAAGAACTAGATTAAATGCACCATAATGAGTAAAAAAACTTCAGGAATTTGGTCTGATGATCTTAATGAATGGCTGAAGATTATGTGTCTTGGAAGACATCTCAGGATTACCTGAAGAAGGATTAGTTCTTTACACAGCTTACACACATCAATCATTTAGCTTCTTATGCATCTCTTGGCAAAGTATTCTTCATTACTTGATTTCTACTTTCTGTAAGGATTTATTATCAAAACAGAATAATTAATACCAGGCATTATCCAATGTAACCCCTAACACAGAAATTCACATGTTTGCATCCCTTTCAGTATTTAAAAAATCTTTGAAAGCTTTGTATTGTTATTATATAGAAAGAGTTCAGGAAAAATATACAGCAAGTAATCTCTGTATCATTTGGATTCAGTTTGGTACACTTGGCCTTCACATTGCAGCTCAGAGCTGTCTGAGGCCATCATGCTTCCTAATGCTTGAAGAGAAATGGGGCTGGGCTGCTTCACAGGGAAACTCAGTGCTGGCCAAGGAATCCAGTGTCTTTTGGGAAAAGAAAACCTGTAGGTATCATCACAGCACAGAAACAGATTCATTTTATCCTTACTTCTTACTAATTCAACATTAAAATCAGATGGGTTTACGTGTAGTTCCATGGACTTATTCCAGGACTATGGACATGTGAGGATGTGAGGACCACAGTCAAACCCTTCAGCTCCAAGAGCTGTATGAATTATTTCTTCCTTAAGGAGGGCTGGTTCTAGATTTAATGATTTAAGTGGGAGAGTCTAGCTTATGGACTGCAACTTCATCTGCTGAATAGGTCATCATTCACAATGCCTTACATGTGCTTCAAGTTAAATATCATAGAAACACACACTGTTTAGACCAGGATGGAGGGCAGAGGCTGAATCTCAGATTTGTTTCTGCTTTTTCTTTGGTTATGTCGATATGAAGCAAATAAGAGCATTCATTACAATGTTTGTAGTTTATGCACTGCTAGCACACTGCCATTGCTGTCAAATCAAAGCTACAATTCCGCTGAAATTCAGTTCAGTGATGAATTAATTAAATTATTCTATGTGAGAAACTGGAAATCACATCTGTGCAGAACATTTATGATACAAAGAAGGATTTGAGGAGTTTGTGATGAATTACCCCATAATGACGATTTCAGAGAGTGGCAACCATGTCCTTTTCCACAGGCTCAGCTGTTCACTCCCTTACTGCACCTGCACTGGGCAGTGAGTGCGCTGGGCACCACAGGCAAAGAGAGCAGCAAAGGCTGAAGCAAAGGGTGACAGGTAGCAGAACTTTGACTGAGCATCCTCAAGGCTTCAGCCAATGCAGCTGAGAGGGTGGGAGCAGACATTAAACTGACCCAAAAAAAAGGTGATGGCAACGTTCTTCCTGCCCCAGCAGCAAGAGGGAGCAGGAACAGAATTGTGACTTTCATTGGCAATTTGATCTTTGCTATGCTCCCAAAGCAGCGAGCCTATGCCCTGCCCCTCACCTTAGTGTGGATTGCAAAGTCAGTGCTAAAGGAGATAACCAGCTGTAGGTCTTTCAGAGAGCCTGAATTTAATCCCCCCGGTGAGAGCATTCAGTTATGTATTTAGAAAGGAAAAAGGTTTCTACACGGTATAAATCCTTGCTTGATAATCCCCAAGCTAATAGGGAAGGCATTCAGTAGTAAACTACAGTCCTTGGACAAAGACATCTGTAACCAGACCGGAGCTCTATGATTAAACTCAAATTCACAGATTGGTTACATGCAGCTAATTTTATTCATTGAGAATACATGACCCCCCTAAGCGGATGTTTAAATTAAGTAAGAATATTGATGACAAATGTTCAAAATGTAAGACAGATGCCTGCAACTTTTGGCATGAAATTTGGAACTGCCAAGAGGTTTGGGAATACTACTCTGGGGTCATTAGGAATTTGGATATCCAAAATGCTCCCCAGCTGCTGATCTCTTCAGAGGCTGCTATACTTGGTCCTGGAAAATGAGAAAATCAGTACAGTAAGTGATGCTATATATATTGCTGGATTGGTAGAACGCATAAGCAATTGGAGAAACTTTCCCCTTTTTCTAGGAAAAATGCAGTGAAGAGAGGGCTGTTGATTTAAGTCTGGGTTTAAACAGACAGTGTAAAAAAAATAATCCCTGTTTCTTTAAAAAATTGATGTTTGAATTGTCTGGATCTGGCTTTCACACTGTTTCTGAGCCCAGGCGTGACCACTGGAGCTCAGCTGCATGTTGTGTTGTTGTTTCCCATGTGTACACACAGATCTTCTGTGCTACAGACAAGGCCACCACTGCGCCCCTGCCTCCAACTGCTCTGCTGGTACCTATGGAAAAGGCTCTTTCTCAGGTAAATAAACAGAATTAAATCATTTAAAAAAAGAGGGCAAAGGCTTGGTGTGTACTCCACAACAAACACAAGGTAGAAATCCCCAGACTATCTGTGGGGGTTGGATCTGACTCCCAGGAAGTTAAGGGAAAGAATTGCATGTTATTTTAATTAGCTCCACACTAGATCCATAATTGCAATGCTGTAAACAGAGACACTTTGCATGGATCAGATGTCAGACCAAAATGGGGAATAGAATCTGTGTTTCCTGACTGTACTCTGAACCTCCAGACAATCCTGATTTTGCAGTGCTGAGTCCCATGGCTCCTTCACCTAGGGACTTGATGGGAACTCCAGATTTTCCTCAGCCATGCCAAGCTGCCATCGGTGGGGCCTTCAATCACAACCCAGCATACACCACTGCTTGCCTAGCTGACCTGGGAAAATCTTGCTTCAATTTATGGAGTTATGTGATCCGGCTACACTAGAACTAGGAATTCTAGAAGAACATTGAGGTGTTTGATGTCTCATTTTCCTGCCAACACCAAGAACAATTTATCCACTCATAGTTGTTTCATAGCTATGCTGATAACTGGGGAAAAAAAGGTGTGTGTTACTAATACTGTATTTTTCCTAAGCTTGTATTAATGTAGGCCAGAATTACAGAAAAAATAATTCAACTTAACTTTGAAAAGAAAAAAATTAAAAAGGGCAAAATGCCTCTTTTTAAAACTACTATTTTTTAGTTTAGTTTTCCGCAATGTCCATTGGCATCTTTCTCAGTAATTCATTTTAATAGTACACACTTTCTGGCAGTAAAAAGGGAGATAGCAACTAATATAATTAAGACTGCAAAACAACCTCTAAACTGAAATGTGTCTCTCGGCAGAACAAGCATAGGATTGTTCATTACAGTGCTCTCCAGGAATAACAAAAACAATTCCCAAAAATGCATTATTAATGGACATTCCCAGAATTAATGATAAAACAAACCAGATGTTCTCTTACATTTGCCTCATAAATGCAAAGTCAATATGCCAAACCAAAAACCCATCTTTGGAAAGCTGTAGGCTATTTATGAACGTACTTTAACTGTATTTCTCATTATTATAAGAGACAGAATTCCTTATCTATTGTCTAAAATGACCTAGTTATGATTCTATATCTGTTAATGAAGAAAGGGATCATGCCCAAGAGAAAAATAGGTGAAATGTATAATTTTACATAGCTTGCATTTACTATGGAGCCGTCCATTTCAAATTAGACATTTTTTATAAAAGGAAAAAAACACAATATTCTTACACAAAGAATACTCCACAATCAGAGTCACAACATTCTCCTATAACAAATATTTTCAAAATACGGCTTAAGACTAAAAAATCCTTCACCAAAAATTTTTGTCTATATTTGTAGGTAGCAGTTTGATATTTATCCATCACAGAACATGTTTACTCACATGGAATGTATTTCATTCCCCTGAATAAAGTTGCAAAAGTCAACTGAAGCTGACAGAAAGAAAATACTACTGATAAAGAAAAGTACAAAGAAAATTATGCATATGCTAATACCTTAATGTAATAATATCAAACATGGTGGGCCATCTGGTGTCAATCATCTGCTGAAGTCAATGGACCTGGAAAAATTTGCATCAGATTAAGTTCTTGGACTGGTGTAAAACATTTTTGTGCACAATATTTCTTAAGAGAATTTTTAAAGAAAAATATTATTAAGAAAATTGTGTTTGAAAAGTTACTAGGAGTAACTTTTACAACTTTTACATCAGGAGTAAAGAGTGAACAGTAATCAAGTGCAAGGGCTGATATCAGAAATTTGGTATCTTTGGTTTGTAAATAAAATTAGAATAACATATAAGATTTTCAATCAAATATTAGGTGCCTGTTTTATATAAAAACTTGAGTCTAACCACTGTTCTTTTTAATTATTGAACAGTGTGTAGGTTTTGGTTTTAGTAGCATTTTTAGTTACCAAGAGACATACAGTAAGAAATGGCAGCATTTATGCTGAAGGATGCTGTAATGACAACACTCCTGCAATACTGTGTGCAGGGAGACATGGAGCTGCAGGCATTGAGGAAAAGGAAGGCAGAGGTAATTTTTTACTTTGTGAACTTCACTAACATACCATAGGTTGCTGGGATTTTTTGCAGCATTGTCAGCGATGTAGTCTCTGTCGTGATCACGAGATATGGCCAGGGTCTCATCCAAAGACCCAGAGACTTTGAAAGTCCTTTGGATCTCTTGCAAAGCTGCCCTGCAGGGAGGTGTCATGTACCCTGCTGCTCCACCTGGCTGAGGCACAGTGTCCCCTCTGTGCTGATACCCAGATCAGTCTAACTCACTCTGCACACTGACCCTCCCACTAACACTCCTCCACTTGTCAGGGCCGTGGAATGAGCCACCAGCTAAAGCCTTTCCTCGCTCCTGGGCTGCCCTATTGCATCTCAGCAGAGGAGCAGTCTTCAGACCTCGCAGGGCCATAAATGACATCTCCATTACCTGTGCTTTGCAGGCCTTGGAGACCTAAAGAGTTCTGTGCTACAGGGCAGCTCAAACAACGTGCTTTTCACTGGGGGCTGAGCACCACACAGCCCCCTTTGGGGGTCTCACTGCAATAGGGTCTAGCTAGACCATGTCTTCTTTCCAGGCCACAGCCAGCCTTCCTTCTAGCAGAGTTGGTGCAGGAGAGACACAGGTACGTTCTTGAGTCTGACCCTGACAAGGGGCTGACCTGCTGCCAGATCCCATGCCTGGACATGGTCAGGCAGCTTTCCCATGGTCTATTGCTCCTCAGACACCCAGTCTCTTCACTGCAGGCTGAGATGGGCTGCAGGGCACATGGGGACTTCAGGAATAGCAGATCCTGCTGAGGGGCTCTGACCTGAGGCCAAGGTCAGCTGTGTGCGGATTCCTGCTGGAGAGGAGCAACATGCTCTGCTTTTGCCTTGCTGCTATGGCCACAAGGCCACACCAAGCACCAAGCCTGCTCAGTTTCCCAAAGTATTGGCAAGGTGAGGCTGCGAAACATCTGGGACTCCCTGAATCCTTTGCAACTCCACTTCTCAAGATAAAACAATGGCAACACTAATTTTTAGCTGTGCAGATGATGAGGTCCCTTTGAATGCCATCTTTTTCTAAGCCTTTTTAAGGCCGTAGACCCTGCAACTGCCATGAATCTTAAGCAGCGGCTTTCCTAACAAACACGTCATTTTCAACCTTCCTCTCCCAAACACTACAGAGTACTGTAGATACTCATAACAAATACACACATGGCCTTTATTCTTATGAATGGCAACATGGATGAGAAGATGTTAGTCCCTGTGTCTCCAGCAGGAGATATGGCTGAAATGAGAAACATGGGAAAAGCTGCTAAACAGCAGAGCAATTAAAAGTATGTCCCACCTTGGCACATACTTCTTGACTGCTTTGCATCAGTCAAGAAAAACAGGAAAAAAAAAGGTGGATGTGTTTCTCAGAAGTTATATATAGATACTTTAAATGAAAATACTGAATATTAAACAAAATCACTTTATCTAAAAGAAATAAGTAATAAAATCCTTTTTCTCCATTTCACAACTACTGATTACTGCTCAGCCCTAACAAAGTTTTGAAGGACCTATGACAGTCACGTTGTCCAAACTCTTGCTCAGAGCAGGGATTATACACTGGGGGATGTGAATTGAAAGTCAGTCTCTTCTCCCAGGTAATAATTGACAGGAAAAGAGGAAATGGCCTCAAGTTGCACCAGAGGAAGTTTACATTGGATATTAGGAAACATTTCTTCACTGAAAGAGTGGTCAAGCTCTGAAACAGGCTGCCCATGGAAATAGTGGAATCATCATCACTGAAAGCATTCAAAAAGTATGGAGATGTGGTGTTAGGGACATGGTTTAGTGGTGGACCTGTCTGTGTTAGGTTAATGGTTGGACTCAATGATTTTGCAGGTCTTTCCCAGCCTTAATGACTCTGTGATTCTGTGTTGATGTATTTTGCATGCTGTAATGGCCTAATTCTCATTCTCCCAGCTGCAGGATCAGTTCTCTCACAGGTGACATTATTCTTGTGCTTTACTTGAATCCCCCAGGCCTAGGGATAATTAATAACAAATTATTTGGCAGAAGCCCAACCTTTGTGATTAAACCTTACAATGTCTCAATTATTCTGTATTGAAAAATATGCAGTCAAAACACTTTTGAACAAAAATATGTATAATTCTCCTCAAAAGTCTTTGTGAAGTATTTATGTTAATGTCCAGAGCCACATCGAAGCCTTCCACAAAAACTTCAATAAAGATTTCCTCCTGAGATAGAAAGGGGCAGCAAATAAACTTCATAGGAGAAGAAAATCCACCATAGCTGTTGTGGTGGCCACCACAGAAACCTGATCCACAATCTACCCAAGTCCTCAGGCTGGGTGAGAATGCGCAGCACCCACTCTAACCCACATGGGGACTGAGCCTCCATGCACCTCTGCCGTGCCCCTCCCAGCCTCTCTTCAGCTGAAAACCAAGTAATGAATGCAATACTTGTGTTTCCTTGTGTTGCTGCTGCCTGTAGTTTGCAGGCATAGGGAACTGCAGGAGTAGCTAGGTGTTATTTGTGCTACAGTGACTCCCAGCACTGGGCAGATGTCGAGGTCTCTAGCTGGTCAGAGTGAGCCTGAGAAAAGTTCGAAAATCTCTTTTCCCAGCCTGGCACTTGAAGAGGGAGTCAGAGCTCTTCATTTCTTGGTCTCAAGGTTGTTTATTGTGTCTTATCTATAAAGTTCTTTCTCCTGTCCTGCTGAGATTTGCTTAGCAAGACAGTCCAGGCTTCTGCCTGCCCACAGGGTGGTGTTATGTCTTTATACTAAAAACTACATATACAATGTTTACAATTAATTTCCAATACCTATTACCTATGTTAGACAGTGAGCTTCTACTCTAAACCAATCCAAAAGTGCCAATATCACAGCAGAAGATGGAGGCCAAGAAGAAGTAGGTGAAAGGCAGGACACACCCAGATCCCTCCACCTTGCCTCCTGAACCTCCATTCTAGAAAACCCCAAAATCTACTTTTTCACCCCATGATAAATTTACTATCATTCTACTTAATCTTTCGTGGCTTGCAGATCTTCATCTAAGGTTGGTTTGGCTCTGTGTCAGGGTCTCTGAGACCCTGTCACATCCACAGACAGACCAGCTCTGCCACCCACCCAGGATCCGCCACGATCCCGGCTGGCAGCCGGAGCCCCAGCAGAAGGGGCAGAGCTGCCTGGGCACTGTGCACCCCGACTCTGCTTCCAGAACACGGCCAGCTCTTGGCAGAGCAGCTGGGGTGGGAAGGGCCCCAGCTGGGCCCTGAGTCAGCCCCTGCTCCAGCACAGCCGCCTGGAGCTGGCTGCTACCTGGGCATCCCGGCAGCACACTCAGGTGAGGGAATAAGCCCTAGTGCCAATGTTTGCTTCCCTGTTTTGGGTTACTCTCTAGCAACCAGAGAAATCAAAGGTACTAGTTTGCACATAGCTGGTTTTGAGGCACAGTTTTCATGGTCAGATTTTACATTTTCTGATTGTGGCCTGATGGCATATGTTTGATAAGCACAGAAGTTGGGAACATTATGGTTCCAAGGTCAAGTGTCCCTGTTCTCTGTAGTGGGCAAACAGGGGTGAAATGGTTTTCAGGTGCAACTCTCCCTCTGGCCACAGGTAAACTGGAAGCTCCTTTTATTTTTTTACATAGAGACAACAAACACAGAATTTTTGTATTCTTGATACAGACCACTATTTCATTGCATTTAAATGTAAATCTCCAGCATAATATTTGCATTGTCCTGAATATATGATTTCTTCCCCTCTAAAGTGTCAGATAATTCTTCAGTCTCAGGAGTATGAACATATTACACAACCCTGGACTTTTCAGCTTGATAGAAGTAATCTCCATGCTTATCCAAATATTTCAGAGCTCTGTCAGCAAACAAAAAATAAATCTTCACACCTCCCATCATCCAGCCCCAAGGCATTAACAAAAGCTCCATCTGTACCTAAAATGGCAGAGCATGTACCGAGCTTTCTCTGGATTCTCTCCAGCTGTTTGCAAACTTCTGCTTGAAACACTGTCCCTGTGGCTGGGACAAAGGAGCAGGTATCAGCCCGGGGGACACCTGCACCCTACAGCCCCTTGGAGGAGGGCATATTCCCTCCTGCCATATCTGCCCCCAGGCCTGTGGCACACCACTCATGCAGGAGGGTTGGGCAGTGCAGCACAAAGCCCTGAACTGTCAGGAAGTTGCACCTCTGGCTCACCCAGTGGCTCCCAGGTGAGAGCAAGCAGCGGCAGGAGGTGCCAAGCCAAGGGTGCGTGAAGGGTGGTACACGGGGTCTCTCTTGTGTTTGTGTTTCTGCTCCTCTCCTGCCTTACCCTCCTTAGCATCTCGACAGGCACAGTTGGCAGCTGAGTGTCTGTCAGGCAGATTGCACACATGGCACATTCCTGTACAACTTCAAACACCATTCCCAAACATCTGCAGGAGCTTCTGTGCCTTTCCTGGTTGTTGCTGTATCACCCTAGGTGGGCTGCTCAAGATCTTTCCACGGGTGTTTGAAGATGAAGCATATTCAAAAAAACATCTACATCTCATTCTTACTGCTTCTGTCCTCTTTTTATCTGATGCCAAAGAGTAAAGAATGCAAAGATTGAAACATACAAATTGTATTTATAATATCAATGCATGTTCATGCAGCCATTTGGTAAAGCCTGTGATCTGTTGCTAGTAAAAATTCTATAATATGTATGTATGCAAAGCAACATTGGGCACAGAGAAGACATATGACTGATGTAGAAGGACACTAAGGGAATTATCAGTCAGAGAAACATAAGGGTTAAAATTACATTCCAGTTTAATGGCTGGAGATGTTACTTACAACTCTAGAACTAAAATTTTTATCTATGTTCTCAGACATCATGAAGTGAGCAGTTTATGATGCAGAACTTCAAAATGGTTAGAAATTACATGTTAATCTAGATGAGGAAATTTGCAGTACCCATAATTAAGGAGAGTGATAAGGTGCTAAATACCAGATAAGTGACCTCTGGCAGGGAAGCTTCATGGAACCTGGGGAACCCAGAGGTGATCCATCTTCCACACACTTCGAAACAATAGAAAGGCTTTAACTTTTCTAGATTCTTTCAATGAAATCTTGCAGTTTGAAAATTCTTCCTGCAGCACACCCTGCACTTGCAAAAATCATGTTTGTCAGTGCTTTGGAATGGGTGTTAGCCCTACAGTGACCAGAAGGAAAGCATTTGGGTATGCAAAAACACTGTATTTGAATAAACCACCAACAAAAAACCCAGCAATCTTCAGATATATCAAAGATTTACCTAAATATTCTCTTTTAGAAGCAAAAAGAAGTGCTTTGGAAGGCTTCACAAAAAATGCTTTATGGCAAGCTGGCTTTGAGTGTGTGATTCAAACCAGTACAGAGGAGACCAAATTATTGTTAAGCTAAACTGAGCCATAGTTTGATATGACTGGTTTTGGGGTTCAGCAGGTTGTCTCTGCAGATACCCCAACTCCTTCTGCAATTGGAGGGCAAGCTAGAATGAATGAGCATGGGTTTTGGTCCCAACATCGGAAGAAGAACCCTAATTCTTGCTGTGGATGGTGAATGTGGTCCCTGAGGTGAGGTAAGTTGTGGCTAAAACTCTGAGGTAGAAACATTGAATCTTTCAGATACTTGTTCTGTCTGTGACTCTGTGAATATAGATGATGTGATAGCAAATGATGCAGGTGTGCCTGGGTGTGCTCTCTGGCAATGAGGCAGTTCCACCTGCACCATCAAATTCTGGGGTATGCACTGGGGCTGATATCCAGCCTGTGACACCTCCTGCCTCAGCTGAAGGGCCCTCCAAGATTTTCTGAGGCAGGGAGGCCCCTGACTACAGCCTATAAACCTTTTCACTTGCATAGTGGACACAGTATGCTGCTCCAAGTGTGGTTCCCTTTGCAGATGACAGTGGTGTGCACACAGGCACACAGGGCTGGGCAGCCAAACCATCCTTGCTCACCAGTCAGTTCCCTTGCAGACGTACCTGGGATCAGGGCAAACGAAGGCAGATTAAAGGCAGCATCACATCAGGACTCACACTGCAATCTGGGCGCCCTCATGCTTTGTCCAAGCCAGCAAATGCAATATGATTAAGGGATGTAAAAGTATAATTTCAAAATGTGAGTGCCAGAAGACATGGGGCCAGCCAAGAAGCAGCAGAGAGGAGATACATCACCCCTTCTGTTCCCTCCTCAGCCCGAAGGCCTGTCTCTGTGGGACCCAACGCTGGTGTCCATGCTGCTCAGCTGTCAGGCTGCTCCCACCCCACACAGGTCACACTGTGGGGACAAGGAATTGTCCCAGCAGGCAGGGGACTAATGGGGCATGGAAAACTCTGCCTGGGCACAGCCTGGGCCTGCTGCTCACCCCTGGGCTTTGGTTTATCAAGGTGTTGTGAGGATGGGAGTGCAAGGCACTGATACAGCCCTGCAAACCTCCTGCTCTGGGCCCCGAGCCTCTTGCAAGTCCAGCCCAGAGAAGAGAAAATGCTCATCTCAACATGTATAAGGAAGTCAACTGAATGTCTTCAAATGTTGAATGCGCTTCAGCTTGGCTTTGTCAGTTGTGTAGCGCTGGCACAAGGCATGTTTTTACAAAGAAACGCGGTTTAAAAAATCAACTCTATCCAATTAGTCTTTTTACATTTATTAAGGCCTTTTTCTGAATAAATTGCATTTATGAATTTTCTGAATTGTCAGATTTTGGGTGAAAAACTTTAAATGAACCAAATACCTTGGAAAACTCAGTGATGACTTTTTTTAATCTTTGGGAACAAAAATAACTAAAACCTTTTTCTCCCCTGTTATAAGCTGAAATTCAAATATTGAAGCAAGGTCACTTTTAAATGGACACATTCCACCCAATCATTGTTTAGGTGAAACAAAATGTGAAAGTCTTTGTCGATTTATGCAGTAGCCACCAATGAAATTCTACTCAATATAAATCAAAGAAATTGGATCTATACAGATTGATGGGGATAGGGGTCAGGGAAGCATGACCATTCCTCAGCAGTCAAAGTGACAGATTGTGTAGGTTTTCCACAAATCTGACGTGGTTTCTTAATTGGAAACATAAAGGAAGCGGATATACAAATCCCACTGGTATCCGGTGGAAATGAGAGGAGAATGCCAAATGATAAACCAATATTTATAGGGGATTGTTTCCAAGAATTTATTACATTGTTTTTCCATTTAATTACCTTGAACTGGTCCTTTAGAAACACTATAAAAAATATAAATGTGCTCTTCTTTTAAAAAAATACCAAAGTCCTGTTAAAAATGAGCTAATTAGTCTTACTTAATACATTTGAGATCTGCTGTGAAATCCCAAGGTTTAGTCTGCTCACAGCATAATCACCTCAGCTGACATCTCTCAGTGGAAAAGCCTAAGCTTTACAAGGCACTGGGAAAGACAATATCATATATTATTCCAACATTTACAAATCTCTAAGGCAACTGGTTCCATTTTTAGCAAAAAAAATCATACATATTTTATGATTTGTGGTTCATTATTTGCATTGAAGAAATCCATTTGCCACAAAAATCTCCTTTTTTAAAGTAACTTTTCCTAAAATAAGTTTTTTGGGTAGACTGGCTCTAGATTCTTTTTTTTTTTTCTATCAGCATTTAGAATTAAACAAGAGAAAATATGTACCATTTCCTCTTGGTCATATCTTTGAACCAGATTCTGTTTTGATTTTAACTTTAAAACAGACATCTTGGGAAATTGTGGGAATTAACACCTATTTTGAGATTAGAAATAGTAGTCAAGTGCTTCTATTCCAGACCAACAAAAGTATAACAATACATACAAAACCATACAAACACTGTGAGGCAGCAGAAGATAGGGTATATTTCCTGCAGAATGAAGTAGGGTCAGGTATTTTTCCAAGTAGTGTTATTTTTTAAAAATACTCTGTACTACAAGAACACCTTAGAGTTTATTCCTCGACCTGATTTAAATACACCAACCCTCTTCTAGAAGAATTTATACCCAAATTCAGAAAAAAAAAACAACATTGAGCTTTATATGTCCTATTAAAATGCATAATTCTTACCAAAACCATATTTGCAAACCTCATTTTTTCAATCAAATTTAAAGCCAAAGGCAATGACTTGATAAAGATCGGCAAGACAGTATAACTTTGAGGTAAGGATAGCCAGTGACACTTTACATTCCTCTAGTTTTCCGTAGGCAGCAGGTGGAAGCAAGGTGTGCAAATGGGTGTAAGGAATGGGGCTGTGGATAGAGCCCAGCCCCACTGTGCTGCAGTACAGCCAGGGAGAGAGCTGGGCAGTGTCTGGCTGAAAACCTCTCTCAGGGGTAATGGGAGGTGGAGCGGATCCTTTTTGCTGGACAATGGGCAGGATGGAGATTAAGTTTGGAAAGTTTGATGAACTGAGAGAAAGGAGTTTACTTTTGAAATGATAAAGAGGGACCAAGGAAGGATTACAGAGAGAAGTGGCACAAAGCAACAAGGCTGAAGGATGACCCATGCAGCAATATCCTGATGGAAGCAACAAGAAAGGCTGCATTCATCATACCTAGAAAAAGCTTGCAGATATCAAGAACATGAGGTGGATGAAAGCTACAGGGTGAGCTTTAGCCATGCAGCTAGGGAGGACCAGCCATGTCTTAGACAGGCTAGACATCTTCATACCTTCTTTCTCTCTGAAAACTCAGTCCTCTTTCCAGGAGTGAAAAGTCTGAAAGCTGTGGGGATGTGATGTGTCAGTTAGATAGATGGGTGACAGCAGTGAGGGGCTACTCTCTGCAGAAGTGATGACAGAGGGGAGACTCAGAGCCTGTCAGGCTGCTTTGTGGTATAAAGGGGGCAGGATATCTCAGCTAAATACAGAGTCTCAATGAACAGACTCAGGTTACTACCAGAGGACAATTTTTTGTCCCCAAATGTACTCATACCTATTGCTTATTTTATTGCAGTGTGCCAGACTGTGTTCTGACTTGGCACAGCACAGCTCATTTCAACACAGCTGTACCCTGCCTCTCTCTCCTCCAAGAGGGTGCTCTTATCTCTTCTGGCTTTTGGAACAGTTCCTTGGCTGCCCGGCTCCCCAGACTGTTGGGAATGTCCTTTCTGTGGACATACTTCCATGGAGAAATGATGGTTGTCATGGCCCAGGTCCACTAGAAAGTGTGCTACCATTTACACTGTGTGACTGACTGCACAGCAGTGCTGTGGCTTGTTTGGCTTAATAGGAGTTGCTCAGACTAATTTAGTTTGCCAGACTAATGTTACTGTGCCAGAGCCAATCTGAAACCAACCCTGTTGCTGGGGAGAGTGGAGAGAGTAGAAGGAAACATGTGGGGGGGAGTTTGCAAAAGAAACCTGCTGAACAAATCCCAAGATTAACTAACTCACATAATCTCAAGAAAAGGTTCCCCCATGGCATAAGTACTCCTAGTTGGGAAAATTCTACAAGGGCCAAATTTCTGCATTAAGCTGTGGGCCTGGCTTTCCACCCACTGCAGGCTGGGGAGTTAACCAGATCCTTTTAACCTGCCCTATAACACATCATGCATATTAATCAATCAGCACTAGAGAGACTCATGCAAGCCCATCACCCATTTTCCCTGACAAATAAGGGCTGGCTTATTCTGCAAAGCTGTCTGCTCATTGCATGGGTCCCACCTTAAAGCTCTCCTGATGATTAGTATTTATTATCTGCACCACAGTGCAGCCTGTGCACCCCAAGCCTCAGCATATGAGGTGCTATATGCAAAACCAGCATGAAAAGATGTTCCCATGCTCCAATGAGCTTATTCCGATCTGGCTGCTTAGCAATATTGAAATGTTTTGTTGAATATTAAGATTGAATAAGCAGACAAGGTATGTGGCATGTACTCAAATATTTTTTAATGAAAATTTCTGACACAAATGACCTATGAAAGGTAGAAGCTGTCATTCCAAGAAATACATAGGGACAGGCGTCATCTTTTATGGTGCAGAATCTGACACGCTTTCAAAATACTGGCACCAAAAGGGAGACTTGGGGACAATTTTTGGCATAAACATTAAGAAAAAGCACCTATACACTGGAAGAAACAGAAAAGCTCACACCTTTTAGAGAATTTAAACTAATCTATGGTGCTTCAGGGTATTTTTCTGTAGAATAAGTATTTTGTCTTCTATGGCGCTATACAGTACATACAGCAGGGAATACCACTTTTGAGAAGCAAAATAAGGCTCATGACACAAATCCTGCTCACTGCACTTAAGCAAACATTCTTCATATTGAATCCAATATGACAACTTATGAAAAGTAGAGGAGAGAATTTGGTCCATTATGTGGCTATCAGATTTAAATTACACCAATAACTGAGACGCACGGGGTATCAGTGACAGGAATACTGGACCCAGAGTGTATGATTACTCAATTACTTCAATGTCTGTTGGATGCTTAAAGGCTAAAACAATTTTGGGTTCCTTCCAGTCAGTGCATATCACTGTCAGCTCTTCAGACAGTTTACCTTTCCCAAGAAGCTTTTGCTTACCTTATCACCTTCCCAGATCTGCTGCCTGCATTCTCCAATTACTGCACTTAACTGCAAGCCACG